TGGCCCCTACCCTGGGGGTCTTTAAGAAGAGGCTGGATGCCTACCTGGCTGGACTCATTTGAGTCCCGTTTCTTGTTTTGGGGTTTTGTTGTTCTCCTGCCCTGGCGGGGGGTTGGGCAGGAAGATCTACTAGGTCCCTTCCGACCCTAAATCTATGAAATCTATGAAATCAGAGTTTTAAAGACTCCAGGCAATAGAGATTCCCTTGGGAAGATATCACAGTGGATACTTACCCTCACTGTCAAAAACTTTTATCTTAGTTTGAGTTTGAATTCTTCTAGGTTCAACTTCTCTCCATTGAACCCAATTATGCCTCTGTCTAACTAGACTGTAGATCTCTGAAATCACTTGATTTCTTCTTTCTTTAAAAGTACTTGGACATACCTCAATCTCTTTCAGACTAACGGATTGAAGTCCTTCAGGAATGTTTTCTACCCCAAATGATTCTTCTTGCTACTTTCTGAATCCTCCTCTTTTTCCTAATATCCTTTTAAATTGTTGTCACTAAAGCTGACCATAACATTTCAGCAGTGACATTCCCAAAGGTATATCTACATGGCAGAATGAATCACCACCCAGTTGGCTTCAAACCACACTCCTCAGCAGGGCTAACTGGCCTGAATAGAACAGAGAGTTAGCAGAGCTATCCTACTTCCATATGGATCTTACACTGGGGTAATTTACTGAGATTAGATGCATGTATAGATGCTGACCACAGGAGTAACCCTGACAGTACTACCTTATGGTGGCATTAATTAGTTTACTGCAGCCTAATACCATTGCATGTGTAGACAGTGATGCTGTACTTCACAGCTAATTGGTTTACTCCACAGTTAAGTGCATGTGTAGATGTGATGACTTTTTATCAGGCCTGAAGTAACACATTTTAGACTTATCACTTTTCTTCCCATAAGTTTCCAATTTATCTCAACATGCCACAATATATTCTATATGCAAAGACTTCTGTGTTGGAAGATGACAGCCAGCTAGGACATGCTGCACAACTGTGAACAAAAACAAAGTTGGCCACAGACCGGATCAAAACTCACTGAAGAAACAGTAGGATATAGTAGAGGTTTTCAATCAAAATTTCAGGGGTGCAAATGCTTTAGCAAAGGAAGTAGTTCCTTTTATTTAAACACCAAGAAAGCTCCAACACAATACACTGCACAGCACTCCATAACTAAAATGCAGGTTGATGAACGGCTGAGTCAAGCTTCCCAGGTTTCAAACTTGAGTGGTTCAAACTTGTGATGTTTATAACTAGCAAGTCATCCTCTGACAGATTTGAGCTCTCATATAATCATGAACATAATGTGTTATGCCTGCAAGCAATTCATAACTCGTACCAAATTAGTGTCATTTTAAGATTTTTTTTTTTTCTTTTTTTTTCTTTTTTTAAAGAAGTCTTTCACTAACTCTAATCCAAACTGAATTGGAATGATTAATGGAGTGTGAGAAATCTCAGTAAGATAAAAGTGACTAAAAAAAATCTGATTTGATACAAATCCAGTCCAACTCTCAGTTTATGAAAAGCTTTCATAAATTAAACAATGCCCAGTAATATACTCCAACTCTTGCCAACATAACAATGTCAGTGTGGCAGTGCACCTTTGCATGCCTGGCACTTTAAGGGCTGGGGGCAGGCAGCCACCAGGTGCTTGATTTAAGGTGCCCATTTTCAAACTTTGACAAGACAGGCAGAGGCAGCAGTTAACTGCCAGCTGCTGAAGCAGTAACATCAGTCAGCTGAGCTTCTGCTCCTGGAACATCTTGGAGGTAAGGGCAAGAGCCATGGGGATGGTTGGAGGCTCCTGATCCTCAGCATGACTTGAAACTGCACCCTGCCAGGGAAGGGTGGCTTGGCAGGACTCCTTGTGGTGAGGGAGTCCCCCAGAAATGCCAGGCCAGTTACCTCCTCCGTAAAAGGTGGGTAGGGGCACCTTGACTCCAGCCCCCACCAACAAGTGGGAAAGACTAGAGAGTAGTGGAGCAGTGGGGCTAGGCATGCCCATTAGAAGGCATCTGAGCCCAGCAGGGATGAAGGACCCCAGAGGCCCTGGAGGGGGGTAGAGTTGTTGTGAAGGGTTATTGTGAGGGCCTGTTCAGAGTAGGGTGCAAAAAGAGGCACTTGAAGAACTGTGTGTGGGGGGTGCAGAGTAAGGCCACTAAAA